GATCTTCATTTCTTTTTATGTTTTTCTTCTCTGACTGTGTGTTCTCAAATAGCCTGTCCTCAAGCTCACTGATTTTTCTGCTTTATCCATTCTGCTGTTGAGGATCTCTAGTGAATTTTTTAGTTCAGCATATATATTTCAAGATTTCTGTTTGTTTTTATTTTTATTATTTCAATCTCTGTTAAATTTCTTTGATAAATTTCTTAATTGATTTTCTGTGTTATCTTGGTGATCACTGAGTTTCCTTGTAATTGCTATTTTGTTCTTGGTCAGTGAGCTCGCATATCAACACCTCATTAAGGTCAGTCACTGGTTCCTTGCTTTGTTCATTTTGGGGAAGTCACAGTTCCTTGTTTGCTGCTGTTGTGGCTGTATGTCTGTTTCTTTGCATTAAAGGATTAGTTATTTATTCCAGTCTTCTCTCTCTGACTTATTTTGTTTTTTAATGGATATTTTTGCTTTTTTCTTTGTAATTTGTATCTTTTTTCCCCCCCACTAGGTTGCTGTCTCCTTTTTGGCACTAGATGGCACCTTAAGCCCAGGTTTGCGTCGAATCTAATAAAGGATCAGAGTGCTGCCTGTCCCAAATGGAAGAGGTCCCAAAGGGGATATTCTGGCAATGTGGGTCACCTGGCCAAGGGTTTGTGCCAAGGGGACCTGTGGAACATATTTCCTATAGCATGGTACTGCCACTCTGATTTGGTGTCTCCCTTGGCCTAGTTATAGAGTGGAATTTCTAGGGTTGGGATGGTTGTCTCACCTCTCCACTTTGTCTCTGGCTGTCCTCAGGGATATTTGTCCCTTCAGGTACTCCCGATACTTCCCATGGGTTGAGGTAGGGACAGGTCTTTTGTCAGGAACCCAAGGTGATAGGGAAGCTGGTTGTCAACCTTGATCTCACTTTTTCTAGTGAAGAAATCATGAGTTGGGGGAAATATTTTCACATGCTTGGTGCAAGGCAGATTGTGGAGAGGGGAGTCACGAATATGGAAATCTGATTTCCTTTCCATCTGCTTGGAGTTTTTTCACTTCTCCATGGCCCTGGGAACTGTCTCATCCTCATCTGTGGGTTCTGGGTTATTGCTGGTAATAATCTTGGTAATGTATGTTTGTTTTTAGTTTTCTGTTGTGAGAGCATGAAGCCAGTTTGCTTCTATGCTGCCATTTTGGAACTGGAAGACAGCATGAAGTTCTTAAAAGCAATTTTTCAACATATATGAAAAAATTTAAATTATTATTTTGGGCCGAATGTGGTGGCTCACGCCTGTAATCTCAGCACTTTGGGAGGCTGAGGTGGGAGGCTTACTTGAGTCCAGGTGTTTGAGACCAGCCTGGGCAACATAGTGAAACCCTATCTCTACAAAAAATTTTTTAAAATTTGCTGAGTGTGGTGGCATGTGCCTGTAGTCTGAGACAGGAGACTGAGACATGAGACTGAGACAGGAGAATTGCCTGAGCCTAGGATATTGAGGCTGCAGTGAGCCATGATTGTGTCACTGCATTCCAGCCTGGGTGACGGAGTGAGATCTTGTTTCAATAAATAAATATGTTTTAATTTAGTAATTGTAGCTCTAAGAATTATCTTAGGAAATAAGGAAAGATATACATTAATGTCTGTATAAGTATGTTCATTTTAGCATTGTACCTAAAGCAATAACTTTGGATATACCTTAAGTATCAACAGTAAAAGAATGATTAAATTTATTTTAACACATCTATATGTATGTTATGTAGCTATTAAAACTGATTGAAGAAATTTTTCTCATAGCATATGCTGAGGGAGAAAAAAGCAGGGTACAAAATTGTATCTCAATTCAATTATCAGTATCTAAATTCACTTCTAAACACATCATCCATGGAAGTAAAAGGATTAAAGAAATACACCAAGATACTTTCACTTCTGGGAAGGTGGTGACATACTGTCTTTTATGCCTCCTGCTAAGTACAACTAAAAACTTTGGGCATTATATTTAAAACAAACTTTAAAAGACTCTGCAAGACGGAGAGAAGGCAGACCAGCTGAGGGTCTTGAGACACAAGGAACAGCATGGTGGTGAGTGTCCTGGGTTTTCTTTTTGCCTCATATATCCCATAGCAAACATATATAATTTTTCTTCCCTCCAAATAATTTCCTTTAACAGGAAATTCTTGCAAGACAGGTCTGAGGCAACAAATTCTCTTAGTTTTTATTTGTCTCAAGACATCTTTATTTCCCCTTCACTTTTGAAGGATAGTTTTTACAGGTTAGTGGTTTTTCTCTTTCCACATTTTAAATATTTCAATTCATTTTCTTCTTGCATAATTCCTTAAAAAAAAAAAAAGTTCAGTATAATTATTATCAATAGGTAACGTGTTTTTTTCTCCCTGACTTCTTGCAAGATTTTCTTTGTCTTTGGTTTTTCATAGTTTAAATATGATATGTATAGGTGTAGGGTTTTGTTTTGTTTTGTTTTGTTTTTTGCATTTATCCTGGTCAGTGTTCTCTGAAATTCCTGAATCTGTAGTTTGGTGTCTGTCATCAATTTTGGAAAATTCTCAGCCATTATTACTCAAATATTTCTTCGGTTCTTTTGTCCCTTCTTTTTCTTATATTCCTATAATGAGTATGTCACACTGTTTATAACTGAATATTCTGTACTGTTTTGTTCATTCTTTTTTCCCCTCTGCGTTTCACTTTGAGGAGTTTATACTGACATTTCTTCAAGATCACTGATTTTGTTTCATTGGCCATATTCAATATATTGATAAGCCTATGAAAGACATTCTTCACTTCTTAAAACAATACTTTTTATTTCTAGCATTTTCTCTTGATTCTTTCTTAAAGTTTAAATTGCTCTGCTTACATTACCCGTCTTGTCTTGCATGTTGTACACTTTTTTCATTAGTGCCCTTAGCCTGTTAATCAGAGTTATTTTTAAATTTCTGGTCTGATAATTCCAAAATCTCTGGCACAGCTGAATCTGGTTCCAATATTTGCTTTGTCTCTTCAGACTGTTTTTTTCTTTCCTTTTAGCATGCCTCATCATTTTTTATTGAAGCCTATATACCATCATTACATCATTGGGTAATAGCATTTAAGATAAATAGGCCTTCAGTGTGAGGGCTTGTGTTTATCTGACTAGGAGTTACACTGTGTTTACTGTTTGCTGTTAACTGTTGGCATCTGAGCATTTCCTCCAGTATCTTTGTGTTTTTTTTTTTGTTTTTTTTTTTGAGACAGAGTCTTGCTCTGTCCCCCAGGCTGGAGTGCAGTGGCGCGATCTTGGCTCACTGCAGGCTCTCCTGGGTTCACGCCATTCTCCTGCCTCAGCCTCCTCCTGAGTAGCTGGGACTACAGGTGCTTGCCACTGCGCCCGGCTAATTTTTTGTATTTTTAGTAGAGATGGGGTTTCACTGTGGTCTCGAACTCCTGACCTTGTGATCCGCCCGCCTCGGCCTCCCAAAGCAGTATCTTTGTTTTTATCACCCCTTTTGTCTCCTGTTTTGTCTTTGGGTTTCCCTAGAAACCCCTTCTTAAAAAGAGTCTAAACTTTGCAGTCTTTCATCTATAATCTTCTGTTATCAGGGGCTCTGTAAATGTGGTGGTAAGGTGTGTGTAGAAGGAAGCATTCTATACTCCTATAATTAGGTCTCAGTCTTTTGGTGAGTCTTTGCCCTGGGCTGTTACCTTGACAAGTTTTTCTCAGCATTTCCTCCCCTTTAGTGAGATAGGAAGGCTAGAGTGGGTGGAGGTTGTCTAATTGCCCTTCTTCAGGTCAGATAAGGCTTTGGTAAGACAGTTTCCTTGAGAACTTGCCTTCATTACAGAGAACAGAACGAAGAACAGAGCTCCCCGGGAATATTCCAAAATAGCTATTTCCTTCTCCTGCTGCTGGAAGCAGGAGCAGATTCTCTGATCTTCATAGTGAGAACACACTGGGGCTCTTGGAGGTAAAACTCACAAAAGTATGGGACCCTCTAAGATTCTCCTCCCTGCCCCCAAGAATTTTTAACTCTCAAGCTAGTCCACACTGAGCCTCGAGAAATGTGTCGATTAAAGCTTAAGTGTTCTTGTCAGTGCAGGTTCCAACAGCTGACTTCTCTCAGGCTTCTGCTCCCTGCAAGCTGTGATGCTTTGTGCTACTCCTCTCTCCAGCTTTCAGGACAGCAGTTTACCCTGTGATCTCAATTCTCTGATAGATAGAAGAGGAGTTGTTTTTGGTTCATTCAGCTTTTTTTCTTGTTGTGAGAATAGGAATGACAACTTACAAGCTTATTACATGTTGGAGTGAAACTAGAACTCCATTAGTTGCTTTTTAATGATAATTTTGCAAAAGTGGGTATCACAATAGAATCAAGTTATTGAGTTGTATTGAGTTATTGATGGGTGAGTTTTGTTAGTAATAATTATATTGATAATCTTAAAGATCTTGAACTTGCTTTCAAATTAAAAATTTTAAGACATAACATACCACACAAATACTCATTCTTACAATTTTATTTTTTTTTATATTGCACTCCCATGGAACTATCCACTGCTTAACAAGGAAAATGTTTAACCACCTTTGCTATTTAAATCTTTACAACTATATAAAATAGCAGAGATTTCAAGAATATAAGTATTAACCACTTAGGGACCATCATTTTGCATATATTTAACATTGGCTCTCCTGTAGTTTGATTTTATTAAACAAAATACAACATTATGTATTTTCTTTTACCAAGAATGTTTTATAGTGCAGTAATTCTTTCAGCTGTTAATCATATAAACTCAGCCAGAAATAGAGCTTTTTATTCATGCTATAATGGTCTTTATCAGACTTGGAAATTCTTATGCTTAATAAAACAACTACAGTTTTACAGTGGCAAAAATGATAAAGATTAGTTTAATTTATTGTAATTACCGATAGAATATTTCCTATAAAATATAAGCTTAATTAGGAAGCATTGTTTTAAAATTACAATTTGAGAAGCTTTTAAGATAGCAAATTTGATTTTAAATTCCATTTCTTTTTACTTAGGTTACTTCCAACTGTAATTGATCAGAAATCATTTATTTTCCCTCAGGAATCTGAGGGTAAACTTTGGCAATCCCAAAGACAGCACAGTTCATCTCTGCCTGTCTTTCCAAGAGCAAAGGTAGGTATAGAGAAATTCATAGAGACAGAAAGTAGTTTAGTGATTGCCAGGGGCTGGGAGGAGCAGAGACTAGCAGTGACTTTTAATGGGTATGAAATTTCTTTGGGGGATGATGAACATGTTCTAGAATTGTATTGTGATGATTGCACTACTCTGTGAATATAGTAAACACCATTGAATTATATACTTTAAAAATGTGAATTTGATGGTATATTAATTACATCTCGATGAAGCTGTTAAAAACTTTTTAAAAAAGAGTAAAGTAAGAAATTTGCTTTGTGTTCTAAGTTAGAAAACATAATGAATGTATAGGTCTGTTTCTAGAATTTCATTTTATAGTTGTTTCAGGTATGTTCATGGCATAGTCAATTTCTACAACAAAAGAGCTTTCTTCAGAAGAAAATAAATCAAGACATAATGCCTTCACATTTTTTAATAGAGCCAGGTGGCAAGGAATAGAGCTCAATAAGGTTCTGACTTTGCCTCCATTGAATGTTCTCTCCATTTTGTATCTGTTTTGTCCCTGTCTTAGTTCAGGCTGCTGTAACAGAATACTGTGAACTGGGTGGCTTAAACAACAGAATTCTATTTCTTACAGCTCTGGAGGCTGGAATTCAAAGGTCAAGATGCCGGCAGATCCGGTGTCTGGTGAGGTCTTTCTTCCTAGTTTGCAGACAGCCTTCTTGGTTTGTTTCTTCACATGGCAGAGAGAGAGAGAGAAAACCAGCAAGCTCTTGTGTGTCTTTTTATAAGGGTATTGATCCCATTCATTAGGGCTCTACCCTCATGAGCTAATTATCTCCCAAAAACCTTACCTGTTAACACCATTACCCTGGGTTAGGATTTCAACATATGGGTTTTGGTGGGCAGGGGGAGGGGGGGCACAAACATTCAGTCCATAGCACACCCTGACTTAATACTAGCTCACCTCTCTTGGGTAGCAGGAACTGTTATCAGTACTTTGAAAATACTAACTTGTTTGAACTTCAGAACAACCCTAGAAGGAGGTGTTATTATTATTATTATTAAGATGGAGTTTCATTCTTGTCACCCAGGCTGGAGTGCAATAGCGTGATCTCGACTCACTGCAACCTCCGCCTCTCAGGTTCAAGCAATTCTTTGCCTCCCTCCCGAGTGGCTGGGATTACAGGCACCCGCCACCACGCCTGGCTAATTTTTGTATTTTTAGTAGAAATGGGATTTCACCATCTTGGCTGGGCTGGTCTTGAACTCTTGACCTCATGATCCACCTGCCTTGGCCTCCCAAAGTGCTGGGATTACAAGCATGAGCCACCGCGTGTGGCCAGTTGTATGACTTTTTACATGTCTATCTTCCCACTAGATTATAAGCTTAATGAGGGCAGTACCTGTATCAGTTTGTTCATTGTTACATTATGCCTACGGTGTGGGCCATAGGCTCTTGACCTCCTAAAAGTTTGCTGAAAATCACTAACATGAGGCAGATTGATTAGTAGGAGAAAAGGCATACGAGTTTATTTAACATGTATACACAGGAGCCTTCAGTATGAAGACCCAACATCCCAATAAGTTACAGAAGTTTATGTATCATCTTGGGGTTACAGAAAGAATGGGGGCTCAGGGCATGGCCAAAACCAGGTTATGTTTATAAATCAGGTTCAGTGGCGAAACAGGTTATAAGAGGGAGAAAGGAAGAGGCTTGGCTAGCAAAGACGGCCTTGTGTGTAGATGCAGCCTCCCTCAGACAGAACAGATGGCAAATGTTTCTTTTCAGTCATTTAAAAGGTATCAGACTCAGTCTCTCCCAGATCCAGGAAATGACTGGAAAGGGGAGCCTTGGCAGCATTGATGGAGATTCTTTTACAGAAGCAAAATTTCTCCACAAAAGACAGCTTTGCAATACCACTTCTGTTTGCTGGCCCTGTGGCAACTATTTCAAAATATGTCAAAGATATATATTTTGGGGTAAAATATTTGTATTTCCTTCACAGAGGATTCTGCATAAATGTTTGTTGAATGGACAAATGAAACCACCACAGTGATCTCTAAGAGTGTGCTCATCTCCATGTAAAATATCAGTTCAGGCTCCTGTGAACTCCCAAAGCAGCCCTCTCCTACCTCTGTCCTTGCACTTGTTACATTGGGTCTTTCAGCCACTCTGAGGAGTGCTTACTGTGTGCCCAGGATTATTAGAGGCTGAATAAGACAGATCAGATCCCTGACATCAGAGAGCTTATATTCTAGTGGGGAAAGACAGACCATCAATAAGACAATACCAGATAATGATAAAAGCGCTGATAAAAATAAAACAGAATGCTGTGATAAAGGGAGCTTAAATTTCTCATCTTCCTTGTTGTTAAATCACTTCTTCAGTCATTTTTTTAACCTGTTTGGCCAAGAATCTCAAGAGGTCCACAGATAGTCCCCAAGACCAGAGATTAGATGGAGGTCTCTGATTTATAAGAACAATGAAATAAGATGTGTGAAATTAGGCTATTTTAGAATATATAATTGCTATTATTGTTCTGGGAAAAAAACAAAACAAAACTATGACCAGAAATTTATTTGCCCCAAAAAACTCTGAATCCTGACTAATGTTCATGAAGATGCACTATGTTCTTTTAGATGCAATGAGGATGGGTGAGCTTCTCTTAAAAAGGGGCATGGACTATTTCCCACCCTGACTTTGCCTCCAGAGCCTGGATTACTATTGTTGTTGTATTTCGAATATCTGTGACATCTGCTTAAAAATGCATATCCTCTGACATAAAAAAGAGCCCTAATTTTGTACTGTAAAGTCAAAGACAAACAATACTGTCTTGCCAGCTGTTACACATGCCTACTACACCAACATAAAAGCTTGTATTATTAAGTAGTTTTGAAATCCAACTGGGATGTTACTACCTTTAATTGCCCACTTCCAACCTTTTAAACCAGGTGAAACCCCAGTCACTTCTTTAAGCTCTCTCTCCCCAAAAGTGGATGGCTGTTTTTGAAATTCACACCAAAAAGCTTATATGACAAACAGTTAGGAGTTGCTCAATTGTAATTAAGAATCATAATTTATAATTGTTTATTAAGCCTCTTTTAATTTGAAAAAGCATACTCAGAAACATTTACAATTTAAAAAAGAAAGGTTACAGTAATCTTTCACTTTCTGAGGTTTTCTCTTGAAAAAAATAGAATCAGTGATGAAATATCAGTAAGTAGTATTGGAATATAAAGTCTAATTTTCAGAATTTGCAGATAACTGGATGAAATCAATATGGACTCCATTTTTGCTTATTAAAATACTAATTTTTAATTTTTTCTCCAAATGTATCAGTAATACATGCTTGTTGTTGTGACAAACATAATAAGAAGATGTAAAGGCAAAGCCAGTTGTTTAACCCACACCCTCTACCGAACTACCCAATCCCATGAGGCAACCAGTGTTAACAGCGGGTTGATTTGTCCACTCATTCCCTTTTGTAATAGTGTATATACAGCACAAGTACATATGCAGATAAGTAGGGGTTTGAGTTGGTTATGAATTTTTTTGCTTTACTGAAACAGATAACATTTTGAGTCATGCAAATAAAAACCATTTTTGTTCATAAACGCTATATATGAAGTTACGTTCATACAATTATTTGCATAAAATATATGCTATTTTATGTTTATAAAATAGGATAGAAATGTAATATGGTGTGATATTTCTGAGTTTTTTTTTCTATTGACTATCCATGACAACAAAAGAGGGAAAGTGGGACCCTGTAGGTTCTAGGGTTGAGTCTAAGGAGCCCAAAGTAAGTGGGAAATATGCTTTGGCATATAAATTATAGCAATTTTTCACTCCATTTCATTATATATCCATTTTTGTTTCAATATAAAAGTAATGGATTTTACTTCAAAATATTTAGATAAAACTCATGCCCTAAATAATATATCTCTTGTTTATTATGTTCCTGTCACACTACCACATACTCCAGGTAGTGCCCCAATTTGAGATGTAGAGGATTGTACAGCATCAGTATATTCATTTACCAAACACTTTCAAATTATTTATTTCATTTATTTTATTTTTTATTTTTGTGAGTACATAGTAGGTGTACATATGTATGGGGTGCATGAGCTATTCTGGTATAGGCTTGCAACGCATGATAATCACATCAGGGTAAATGGGGTAGCCATCACCTCAAGCTTGCATTTATCCCTTGTGTTACAAACAATCCCATTATACTCTTGAGTTATTTTTAATGTGCAATAAATTATTACTGACTATAGTTGCTCTGTCGTACTATCAAATACTAGTTCTTATTCATTCTTTCTATTTTTTTGTACCCATTAACCATCCTCACTTCCCTACTAACCCACACTACCCTTCCCAGACTCTAGTAATCATCCTTCTACTTTCCATCTTCATGAGTTCAACTATTTTAATTTTTAGCTCCCACAAATAAATAAGAACATGTGAATCCTGTTGTTGCTTGCCTGGCTTATTTCACTTGACATAATGAAGTCCGGTTCCATCCCTGTTGTTATAAATGACAAGATCTCATTCTTTTTTGTGGCTGAATAGTACTTCACTGTGTATATGTACCACTTTTTCTTTATCCATTCATCTGGGCTTTTTGTTTGCTTGTTTGTTTTTTAACTTTTAAGTTCAAGGGTGCATGTGTGGATTTGTTACATAGGTAAACTTGTGTCATGGGGATTTGTTGTGCAGATTATTTCATCACCCAGGTATTAAGCCTAGTACCCATTAGTTATTTTTCCTGATCCTCTCCCTCCTTCCACCCTCCTCCCTCCAATAGGACCCAGTGTATGTTGTTCCTCTCTATGTGTTCATATGTTCTTATCACTTAGCTCCCACTTATAAATGAGAACATGTGGTATTTTCTGTTCCCACATTAGCTTCCTAAGGATAATGGCCTCCAGCTCCATCCATGTCCCTGCAAAGTACATGGTCTCATTCCTTTTTATGGCTGCATAGTATTCCATGGTGTATATGTACCACATTTTCTTTATCCAGTCTATTA